GCAGAGGGAAGCGAAGTTTCATGAACAAGGATGAAACCAAAGCAAGCACGGACTTCCAAGAGAAGAGAGGGCCAGAGCATGTGGAAAACAAGTAGCAACAGGGGCCAAGTAAAGAGCCGAGAGTGGTCAGATCTGCTGGTTCTTTTGGGAAACACAGTGGCCATGTCTAGCTTTTGGGTGGCGAGACTTGTTCTCAGGTGTTCTTTTTCACAGTAGATTTGATCTTACATGAGGAAATGGCCCTTCTGTTTCAGGTTCATGCCACACTGGCACACATGTAACACTCAGGGTGGCAGTGATCGTCACACAGCTGCACAAACACACCAGCAATGCTGGTGCCATGTTTGTCACATGTGGGCACAATCGATGCAGCCACTTTGGTGACTGGACCCTTAATGCTTCTGAATCCCAAGGGCTTATTGTGGTCTCCTTTCTCCTTAGACTCCAGGATTTCTACAAAACCAGGAATGAAGTGGACTGTTTTGGGGGCTCATTTAGCTCCTGTTTCTCCTAAAGCATCTTGTACTTCAGTTTGTTTGTTGATCATGAGTTCACTTGGAGACTGAGAATGCTCTAAGGCTGGGGTGTCAAACTCATTTTCACCGGAGGCCACATTGGCCTCACAGTTGCCTTCAAAGGGCCAAATGTAATTTTAGGACTGTATAAATGTAACTACTGCTTAACAGTTAAGTGAGAACTGGACGCTGCCACCAGGTAGAAACAAGGTGCCCCGCAGATAAAACAAGGTGACAGGCCGGATTCGGCCTGAGGGCCGTGTCTTTGTCACCTGTGCAAGGCTTATCTCTGGTCCACTGGGCTGCCTTCTTTGACTCCGTGGGTCCATAGAAGTCAAAGCTGTTTTCAGAGGAGTGAAGGTCAGAGGGATTGTTGTCCTGGTTGGTGACAACCCCAGCGGCAGAGCTGGAGGCAGGCCAGGAGGTGAAGGGTCCTGCATGTGTCCAGCACCCCTTGTGGTTCAGAGGCTCAATTAATCAGGGACAGTATTCTTAAACTACATTTTCTGAAAGGAAAAATCAGGAGCTTACTCTATTCTATATAGAGTATATAGTGCACTCTTCTGGAATATGTAATCTACTAGGAAACCTTATGAAGGAACATGGAGTAAAAACCTGTTTTGCCAAACAAACAAAATATAGTGAGACACTGAACAAAGGCACTGGAATAGAGGACAGGCTGACAGTGACCAGAGGGGAGAGAACAGGGAATTTCAAGGGAGAATGGGAAGGGTTTACAGGAACAAATATAAAGGACACATGGATAAAAACTAGGGGCGTTGGAAATGGGAGGCAGGTGAGGAGGGATGGGTGGGTGGGCTGAAATGGGAATAAAAGGCAGAAAACTGTACTTGAACAATGACTAAAATTTAAAAAAAAAACCCTGTTTTGCTCCCTAGAGTGGTCAATATGAAAGGTTCTCAGAGTACTTTGCAATACATTTTTATTATCAGCCCTTTATAAAACCCCTCAAAATCCAATAATGGACTCATAAATAGTAAATGGAAAGGTGGAAGACTAGAAACATGGTGCATTATACATGGTGTCATAAACAGAGATATAAGCTATCATTATTAATGCATTTGGTAATTGATAAGCATGCATTAGAGCCATATTTTAAAGTTTTGGTTAAACAAATACTTTAATTTTACAGACTTATATTTCAGTCCCTTTGCCACCCTCACCTCCTGTGTCTCAGTGTTGTATAATGCCAATCAGAGACACCAGCACTGATGTTAGTGTCTGAAAATAGCAATGATTTAGAAAAAGATAGATGTGGTTGGAATACTCATATGATGGCAGATATTCTGAATGGGCATGGAAAAGAGGTTTTCCGAATAACCTTTAAATGGAAAGGTAGAAAGAATCTGGAAAATAAAAAATGTTAATGAGGCCCTGATAGAAAACATAAGAACTGGGGACTCTTTGATACGGTCACACAAGTACACATTTCTGTTGTGTTCATTACAGTAAGTTTACATCTAAAATGCCTACTGCTGAGACACAATAGTTGCCACAAACATCCACTCTTGGTCATAGTAATCGGTATTTTGGGGTTCCTTTGGCTAATATTAACCACATCATTTTGACAAGTGGCAATAGTGTCCATTTATAAGAGCTTTTCATTTTTTTTCATAAATATACTCTAGGATGTTAATTTATTTATTGTTAAGGTTATGTGTCTGGGGTTAGCTTTAGTGATGTCTGAATTTTCTTAAAAATAGTATCCACCTTATCTGTTTTTATATTTAAAAATTAAAACTGTTGTGTAGACATCGATGTATTGGGTGGAAGGCCAGGAGCAGTGGTGGAGGTGGTTAAAGGGGAGGGAAGGTAAAAGTTTAGAACAGGGAAGAAGCTGTGAAAGAAGACTTTTTTTAAACAAGAAAACAGACACAATAAGACAATATGAGTGTTACTTAGCACGTAGAGATTAGTGTCCATAAAATAATTTAGTACAATATGCCTTTTTTCCCCAGCAAAGAGCATTATAGAGGAATAATTCTAGCCTTTCCGTCTATTCGGAGACTTCTTTAGGTTAAACCCAAACACTTAGTGAACATATATGGTGTAAAAGAATGTCATAGCCCTGGCGGAGTGGCTCGGTTGGAGCATCATTCTGAGCACCAAAAGTTTGCACGTTTGATACGGTTGCAGGTTTGATCCCCTGGTAGAGGTGCATACAGGAGACAACTGATCAAAGTTTCTCTTTCACATTGATGTCTCTTTCTCTCTCTCTCTCTCCTTTCCTCTATAAAATTAATGAACATATCCTCGAGTGAAGGTAAAAGGAAAGAATATCATAGAATTTTGAAGCTAGATGTGATGTCAAGGTCATTCAGTCCTATCTCATTCTTTTAGAAAAAGCAAAATTATTTTCTGATTTCTTAAAATAGAACATTTGTGCATTCTTTCGAAATCTGTCCTTTATACCGGGAATCAATTTTTCACACCTATATTCTACTCTGTACACTGTAACTATTTTTTTATTATAGCTCCTATAAAATTTTATGTTTCTTATTTATTTACAAATGTGTTTCCCAAAATCTGCTTAGTTCATTGCCTTTTCTTTCACTCAGCCAACTACCTGTTCAGGCCTTTTATTTCCCTCACTAAATTATAATATCCTTGAAGATAGACATGACCAGGCTTTATTTATTTTATCTGTAGCACTTTCAGGGCCTGGCACTGTGACTGACCTGGTTATGTTAAATTATTGCTGAGTGAATAAGTTTTGCTTTTGCTTTGATAAGTAAAAGTCAGAGGGAATGATGGATTAAACATTCTTTATTGCAATTATTGTGATTAATTTATCTGTAATCAGAGGAACGTTTGATATCCTGGAGTAGTAAAGTCAAGTACAATGACTGAATTAGCTCTTAATGGAATTAGTATCCCTTCCTTTAATGTTTTTTTTCTACACAGTCTAGTATTTTTTTCCACTTTTCCGTATTGACTTGGTTGTGACTGGGACTGTATTATTACCATGGCTGCAAAAATACTTGAGTACCTGATAAGCTCTGACATTGCTATGCAGAGTCTAGAAAGAAGATGTTGGTTTAAAATAGATCAAACCTCTTCTTTTAGGAATTCCACAGAGGTCACTGTGTATTTTGGATGGGCTAAATATACCCCTTCAGAGAGGCAGTGTGTTTCCACCTTTTCTCTGGGGCTTTAAAGATGTCACTTTTTATCTTCTCCTGAAATGTTATCTGAATTTTTTAATCTTCAAGTCGGTGCCTCATTATTTGAGTTTATTAAGTACCAGTAAGGTTTCATTAAACACAACCACATTGTTGTATATCTTATATAGAGCAGGCAATATTTACTCTGAAATCCTTCTGAATCCAACTCGGGGGTAAAACATGTGTATTGAACTTGAAATCAGTTCCACCTCTGTAAAATTCCTTCCCAAACATTTCTTGAATCAATACTCTTACAACTGTTCTTAAATTCACAGGACTTTTAACATGGCTTATAAGGCCCTTCATGGTCTGCCTCTCCTCTGATACCCTCTCTCTCACAGATTACCTGCTCCCACCACACTGGACTGCTTTCAGTTTTCAAAGAAGCCACTGCCACCATCTCTTTTACTACTGGGGGAAGGGAGGGATGGAGGGAAGGAAGGAGTGGGGGAGGGAGAGAGAGAAAGAGAGGGAGAGAACAGGAAAGGGAGGGGAGGGAGCAAAGGAGGGGGGAAAGGAGAGGAAGAGAGAGAGGGGAGAAAAATTTGTATTGTAGTAGAGAGAAGGGAAAATAAAATCTTAGAAGGAGGCAGAGAACACCTCTGTATATAATAAATGCCTAAGAGTTGCCAAAACTCTTCTTTTGAAACAAAAGAGAACAAGTAAAGTATTGGTTTGTAAGTTACATATTTGATTGCAGAATATCTAACCTGAATTTTAAGGTCTTCCAGCCTCCTCTCCAGTCACTTACTGCTCTGAGGATAATCTTTCTGAAGTACAGTTCTGATGATCAGTTCTTTACAAACACTCTTTTTTGTTTGCCTTTCCTTGGAGAAATGGTAAAGTTTCTTAAATTGACAAATCACACCCTGCACTGTAATCAAATTTACCTGGTGACTCTTTCCTGGACCTCGGGTTTCCCTGAATCTTGTTTTCTTGTTTTGGAACTTTAGCACAAGTGATCCATTGACTTGGACATTTATTCAGAGCCCCAGGGAGCCCTGTCTCAATGGTGCATATTGACTATAAAGGCCATGTTATCTTTTAAACTTCCTTTGAATTCCTCCCGTTTGAACTGATTTTTAGCTGCCCTGAGTTTGTATGGTGCTCTGTCTTGTGTTATTATTATATTAGTAAAGTACTTTTCTAAAATGTAGGTGATAAAATTTAGGTATCTCTATATTCTTCACACTAAGTGTAGTGCATTTTACCAAGTAGTTTCCAAAATGAATGAGTGAAACAGATAGGAAGTTGTTTTATTTAGCAAATACTCTTGAGGACCCACTATGTGTCAGGTACCATGTCGGATGCTGGAAATACAGTGCTGAACAAGGATGATAACATCTCTGCCCTCACGTGCACAGACACTAACACGGAATTAGACATTTTCCAAATACTTGATCATAAGTGAGATGTTCTTAATAGTTTGGAGGGAATAGGAAGTGTTCTGGAAATATGTAAGAGAAGATTAAGTACTATATCTCTATTTATAATAGGGAACTCTAGGTGCAAAAGAGTGTGTGTTGCCAAAGAACGTTCTAGGTAGAGGCAACAGCATGTTTTAAAATCTAGTGGTGATAGAGATGGTGGCTTCCTGGAAACTGAAAGCAGTCCAGAGTGGCTGGAGCATGTAATCTGTGAGATGCAGGCTGCCAGAGGAAGAGTCAGAATGGGAAGGGCCTTATAAGCCATGTTAAAAAGGAGAAGGAGAAGGGGAAGGAGAAAAAGTTATTCCAAGCATGGTGGAAGGCCAGTGGGGGTATTCAGCCGAGTGGCGTGAAGCTGGACCAGTGTTTCAGACAATCACTCTGACTGCATTGTGAAGAGTGGAGTGCAGAGGTGTCCAAGACTTGTAAGGAAACCAGAAAAGTGGCTAATTTTGGAGTCTAGATGTCAGTCTCTGGCTTAGGCAAAGGTGCAATGGATATAAGATTGGGAAGAATTGAAGCCTTTAAGGAAAGTACTTGGAAGACTGAATGAAATAACAGGCCATATTTTTCAGGGATGAAGGAGAGGCAGAGATCCAGACTGGCTTCCAGGTCTCTGCCATGAACCAGCTAGAGCAGGGCACACCTTATGCTGAGAGAGGGAACACTGGGGGAGGAGCAGGCTAGGGAGCAGGGGAGATAAAAAAATCAATTTTATATGTTATACCTCCAGTGGTGTCTGATAGGTGGATTTGGGGTCTGATGCTTAGGAGAACAACCTGGTTAATTTTATAGATTGGAAATCATATGCACATAGGACATAAGTAAAGTTATGAATGTGGATAGTATCTCAAAGTAAGAAAGTGTAGAGGCAGAAAAGGTCTAGGAGAGAACCCCAAGACCCTAACTCTTAAAAGCTAGCTAAGCAGAAGAGGAGCCAACAAAGACCACTGAGGAAAAAAAAAAACAGCCGATGAAACACCACCCAACCAGTGAACCAACCAACCAACAAATCTCGGGACAAAATAATGTGATGGAAGCAAGGAGAGAGTTTTGAAGAGAAGGAAATTGTCACAGGGTCAAACACCCCTGAGAGTCAGGCAGTGTGAAGGACAGAAAAAGGTCTACTGACCTTAATGGCAAGAAGGTCATAATTGACTTTGGTGAACAGCCTCAGTGGAACAGAGTGTAAAACTAGGTTGGAATGTGTTGGGCATCAAGTGGAAGGTAAGGAAATGCAGATGCTGACTGTAGGTAACTCTTTCCATAAGCTTTGCTGGGGAGGGTGGAAGAGCCTATGGCTGAAGTAAGCTATGGACTGAGGAACATTTGTTTGGGGCTTTCTTTGCTTGTTTTTAAAATCAGAAAGAAGGTGGGGAGGAGAGAGAGTAGAGAAAAGAAGAGAAGAGAAGACATAAATTCATGTTGTAGTAGAGAGACGGGATAATCAAATCCTGAGAAGGAAGGAGAGAAGCTTCTGTGTTGAATAAATGTCTAACAGGAGGTAAAATTCTTCCTTTGAAACAAAAGAGAAGTAAAGGGTTGATATGGAAATTATATATTTGACCACAGAATATCAGACCTGATTACTTTTACTTCCTTTGTGGAGTAGGGGTTAAAATTATTTGCTTTGAGACAGGAGGATATAGGGTTAAAGAGAGAAGAAAAGGTAGGAAAAGTCATTATACAAAATAAGAGTGAATTAAAGGAAAAACACTTAGTAAGCTGTGGGGCAGTGCTGGGCTGCTATTCCAAACTGGCAGCTCCACGTTGATAGTGGTGGCTGTCTTTTCATGTGTGATGTTTTCTGAGTGTTGGGCCCATCAGGAGAAGTGGTGTTTTAGGGTAGAGCCTGATTTCCATGTGGACAAAGAGGTTCAGGAAATTTACAGTGAAATTTTAAGAAAAACCTTACAGAGCCACTGGGAGGGCCCAAGTTTTGCACTGGTCAAAAGAGGTGGTTGTGGCTATTATATGCATCCTCTACCGCGTTTTCAACCTTTAGCATCTGCTGACACCTGCCAACCTTACTCCTGGGAGCAGTTCCATCTTATACTTGTGCTTCTTCTGGATCCTTCTTCATACACGTCAGATACAGAAGAAGATTTCATGAGTTGACACATGAACTCATGTGTCTCTATGACGGAGAAGCTGTGGAACCAGAACTGGAGCACCTTGGAATAACTGAGACAGTGTGGAAGTCCAGTGATCTTATCACAATAAACAGCTTAAGTACATTCAGTGTCATCATTATTACGAAGCACAAAAGAGCTCTCCTTGGCTGCTGATTAAGCAATAGTCCTCATCTGCAATCCTCAGAAACTTAGTAAGGAATTGGGCAACATCAGAGACAAATCTCTAATCTTACTGGACTGCACATATGTTTTTCTTTCTTACAATGTGGTAATGTATTATTAAGTCCATTTTAATGGAGCCTCAAGTTCTTACTCAGAGTATCAAGCATCTTATTAACATAATAAGCAAGGCATTCCCCTTCCTATCATGTCAGCAGTACCAAAAATATGTTTCCTACTGACTTCCCTGGATATCATGTACATTGTTTACTGTTTGGAAATAGAAAGTGTAGAGATTACTTTGAAATTATTTTATGTACTTTCACCAGGTAAGTACAGTATAAAAGCTTATTGATTTCAAAGAGATGCTTGTGCTTAGATTTTCCTACATTCCTGTGACCTTTATTTTTACATGGTACCTTGTTTTCACTCAGTCACTAAGCTAAATATGGCATATATTTGTTATTCCTACATAGCGTACGTTTCTTCTCTCTCACATTTTGTAGTTTTGTTGTGAATGTACATAGTATATTCTGGTCCTTTTGAAAACAATGGAATTTCTTGGGCGATCTGGTGCTAAATGCCAGGTTTCCATCTTAAAAAATCCTGGGTAAGTAGGAATATATCCAGAATAAAGTATTTCTGGAGCACAACAAAGACTTTGAAATAGGAAACAGAGACTTACTGAAGCTCATTACTTTCTTCGTTGCCCTTCTTTCATGTAATTTCTCAGACACAGGTCTGAAAATGGTTTTGAACTTAAAGTAAAAAAAAAAAAAAGACAATTGAATTAGGCCTCTTACCACTCAAGTCTTTCTGTGAGGAACAAGTCTAAACTTATAAATTTTTTAATTTCAATATTTATAGAAAAACTGATTTGTTGAAAATCACTGTGTTTTTAGTTGGAAGGTGTTACTAGACTAAAAATATTTTGTGATTATTTAACTTTAGATACTTTAGAGATTATTTCATCAAGGATCAGTTGACCAAATGGTAAATTTACTGAGGTTTCCACTGAAAGTGCAGTCACAATGGGTCACAATAGAATGAAATACAGGCTAACAATGACCTAACATTTTACTAACACGTGGGTCCTTGAATCAAAGTGTTATAGTTCAATGGGCCCAATGAGTCCCTAGATGCTTTCCTGTTTCTTAAAAGCCATGAAATCTTGGTGGATGAGAACTAAAAAGCAAATATAATGAGTGCTAATATTTAGTAGTGAGATACTTTTTTTCAGTAGTACATAATCAGAAAAGTCATTTTCATTGTATTCCTCTCTTATTCAAGAGTATAATTATTACATTTTGCAAACCCTTCAGCCTAGCCTTCAAAATCCTTTTCCCAGTTCTCCTCCCCTAGTCGGCTTCCTTTCTTCTGCTCTCTTTCCTGGGTCCCTCACAACTGTGGAAATAATGAGCGCTTTCCTGTACACAGGCCCTCGTCTTCCTTGCCTCCACATCTCATGATACACCATTTTGATTCTTTCTTTCCTGCCAATCCATGTTTCCATTCGCAATTTGACATATTTTTTCTAATAAAAGCCAACTTTCATAATTAATTGGATCTGGCTCTTCAAACCTCTATTTATCTCTGCTTGCTCTTCGTGGAAAATTGGAAGTAGTAAGCCATGTTGCTATTTTCTTTTCTTTTCTTTTCTTTTTTTTTTTTACCTTTAAGACTTTGGCCAATATATTTAGGCTCATTCTGTCTATTTTGAGAATAATGCTTATGCTACTTTCCTAGTCGATTTGTCATTATGATTAAATAAGATAATACATGTAAAGTATTTAGAATAGGGCTAAAACATGGTAAAGAACACATATTATCATACTAAAGCAAATATTTGTATTTTCTGTACTTACTAAGTGACTGAGACTTTTCTAAGTCCTTTTGTGTACTCAATTCACCCAGTTTCAGGAGGGACTTACAGATACCCTTTACATAAGAGAGAATACTGAGACATATGTCCCTTATCAGTTAGAATAGCCTAAAATGAATTAAATGAAAAAATGAATTAAATCAAAAAATGAATTTCTTCTCATTCTTGAGCTGCTTGGATTTCATATTTTTTAGATATTAGATGACATCAAATTGTTGGTGGATGTTAATTTTAGCACAAATGCTAAGGATATAATCTATTGTTGGCACTAGGGACAGTGCCTGGCATACAGAAGGCACTCAATAAATGTTTTTGTTGTTGTTGTCGTGTTATGAATGTCCAGGGTTTCTCTCTCCTTTCTTTCCCTTCACCCAAATTCAATGATTAAATTGCATTTTAAAACAATGCCCAAAATGCCCTTTAAATTTTTTCAGAATATATTTATTAATTAAGAAACAAGTCAGTGATATCCTAGAGATTGAGTCTATATCACTTTGTACATTTGTGACATTCTAATTTTTGAGGTGGCCTCTTTAAGGGAAAGCTAACTATATGGGAAGTATCTTACCAGATGATTTCACTGGAAGAAAACTTTTTTGATCATATGTGAAAATTTTCAAAATTAATTCAGTAAGAACTTACCAGATTGCATTTACCACAGACTCTACATTGTAATATGTGTTACTTTTGAGGATGATTTGAAGACTACTAAATCCAAAAAATGAATTCTAAAAAGTTTTGCCACCTGCCATGTTAGATTACTTTAATTTTTGTTTTTAAAATGCAGAACTTTGTTCTAGAGGAAAAGTTTTTAGTGTAGAACTTTGCTTTCTAAGTTTCCACATATATTTTATCATTTACAAAAGGCAGGTTCAACAAGTCAAGCTCTTTCAATGTGTGCTTATTGAACTTAAAAAGTAAAAAGGTTTTTTTTTAAAATTATTATTTGTTTACTTTTAGAGAGTAGGGAAGGAAGGGAGAAAGGGAATAAAAAGTTTAAAAAACAAGCACTTGGGACCAAAAGAGGTCTTTAAAGATATTTTCTTTCAGTTTCTTTCCTCTGAAAAATTCATAAATTCTTCCTCATATTCAAACACTAGCAATAATTTGCCTTTAAGTTATCATTTTTCAAATAATTGGTTTTGGTCACAAGACCATTACCTGAGACTTCTGTTTTAAGATACTCTCCTACAAAAATGGACCTTCAGTCACCAGAGAAATAACTTTGATATTTCTGTCCTAAACATTGCTTTAGAACAAGATAAGAAAGTCTGATCTATAATATTTTGTCTACATATGGTGGCAACCTCATAATTTTAGATTTTGGATTGCAATTTGCATCTCTGCATGGCTCCAAATTTCACCCAATTGTGAGCCAGTTGACGGGTGTCAGTCCTGAACTTGGAGTGGGGAATATTTGAGACCGCGTTCCCAGGAGTAAGGCGGAAGCCCGAAACCGAAACAACACCTGGGGGCGGGAATAACTTCCAAAACTCGGCAACGGTTCCTAACCGATTGAAAGGAAAGAGGGGGTGGAACCCTCTGCTGTCGTCGCTAGGGACGCTTCCGCCGAGACTACTGCAATGGATCTGGAAGACGGCCTGACAGCTCTGGACAAGATAGTCACTCAGTTCAACACCTATGAAAATTACCTCGACTCGCAGATAACTGACGAGGACTTGTACTACCTAGAGGTAAGGTCAGCTGCGCGGCGAAGTGGCCACTGCCTTCCAGTCCTTGGGTCCCCCCCGCGTCTTGGGGTGTTTGCCCCCTGGCGGCGAAGGCCGGGCCTAGCAGTTTCCTGGCGGTAGAGGTGAATCACCGCATCCTTCCCATTCTGTGTTGCCCCAGGCAGTGCAGGATTTGGGCACCTACTATCTCACCCAGGGCAGAAACCAGTGAAGGCACTCGCAAGCCCGCTCGTTGGACAGCCTTGAGTTTCCATAGCTCAGCCTCACCAGTCACCTCCCCACCCACTCCCTTCCTCAAGCCATTCTCTTGTAACTGGTGGCTGAAATCCGAGGCCTGCTGAAACGGCTGTAACTCAGGTCTGACACTCTGTTTCTCCTTCCTTTGCCAGTCTTCATTAAAGAACAGAATGCTATTTTTTTTTCCGACGCAAGGGGCAACAATAACGGTACATCTGGTGATATACTGGGCATTTGGGTCCATACATTTCTACCTTACACTAGTTGATTCAGAAAGCCCTTTAATTACGGCTACCCAGGTCGTTGTGCCTGCATATTACTGATTCATGTTTATCGAGTTGATGATTCACAGACAATGTTGACAGTAAGAAAACAAAACAAATACCACCTGTCCCCCACCCCTGCCCCCAGCTTGCAATGCAGCAAAATCAGACACAAGGGTATTGACTACTGTCTTCTACCCAGCAATCATGCCCCTCCCTGCTTCTTAAAGGTGTGTGTGTGTGTGTGTGTGTGTGAGAGAGAGAGAGAGAGAGATAGATAGAAGGGGAAATTTTGTGTGTGTGTGTGTGTGTGTGTGTGTGTGTGTGTGTGAAGGGGGACTTGCTGGGAGGCTGGGAGGTGGGGTTAAAGCTCTTGTCTTCTCCAGGAAAACCAGGATGGGCCAGAAAACAATAGGCTACCCATCTTAAGAAGTGGGAGGTGAACCTTTTGGATCCCTGTAGCCCTCGTATATTCCCAAACCAGGCCAACTAAATGGGCACTGACCTGGAGATTCTGCTGTGTTGGAACAAAGCCAAAGAAGCCCAAACAGTCCCATTTCTCTTTAGGCCAGAGAGAGCAGCACCACCATGTGGTACCAAACCACACCTGAACCTGAGAAGGATTTGTGTACTGCGGCCAACTCCAAACTCCTCATCTACAACAACACGATTTTGCATTGTAATGGATTGAAATTTTTGGATTCCAAAGATCATGTGAAGTGCCATTTCAGTTAAATGTAGATTCTAAAAGTTGAACAGTGCTTAGTCTCCAAACATATTCATGTGCTGTACGTGAACTTAATGTTAATGAAATGGAAACATCTAATTCTAGTTTTATCTCTAATACAAATCAGTTGTGTGACCTTGTACAAATAGTTGGATGTTTTTGGAATTATCTGTTAAAAAAATAAACCCAGTTAGTATTTTCAACATAGCTTCTGACTTCAAAAACAAGATTTTTACACATTTTATACAGATAATATGTTTAAAGTCATAAAAGTGTGTTTTTTGCCTTGCATTTAAGTCACTGAGATGAAAGGAAAAAAGTAATGGTGCTAAACAATGTCTGCATCTAAATTTTTGAATGTATAAAAAGAATGAAATACAGACAATAAACACCTCAATAGAATAAAATTAACTTCATAGTGCATGTGGAAACTTGCCAAGCTTAAGCCTTAAGCCTAGTATCTTTAAGAAAGTTTTCATTTTTTTTAATGCAGAGTTTTTCATTTGAGAAGAGAATTAAAACATTAATGTTAATTAGGAGTGAGTAATTAATAATTTGTGTTCCATCAATCAGAACTTTAAGGTCTCCAAAATGGGAAGTGGTGACTATATTTGATACATTTTAAACTTGGTAATGATTTAGTTTATCTTATTGTACTTTTATAAAAAAAATAAGATGATTTATTTGAATGATATTATGGCAAGTATATATATTTTTTGGGTTGAGTAATGAAAATTAAGGGTCATTAGATCTGGGGAACTATATTCTCAAATACTTTCTGTGAATAGAGGTTAATTGCCTGTGTAGGTTGCAAGGAGACAAGTGGATTCCAAAAATTGTTTCCGTAATATGACTAGTATGGCAGGCCTGTGTCAGGGGTCATGGATCATGCTCTGTGAGGTGATTCTTACTCTTTTGTTTGGGGAGGGGTATTTGTAATTGACTTTGGTTTGAATGAAGCAAATTTTAAATGGTTAATGAGAGACAGCATATTATAGTTAGAAGACCCTAGGGTCATGAGATTTGGGTTCCAAATCTGTATTATTGTATTTTGAACCAGTTTGAAACTCCATTTATTCATCTGCAAAATGCAGTGGTTGGACTAGATTACACTGAATGGTTTTTATATTTGTAAACTTTTATGAATCACCTGTCCATCCATCTGTCCATTCATGCATCCATATAGTCGTCTAACTATGTATTTAATTAATAAACTTTTACCAAGTGGCTACAATAGTAAATATTGCCCTTATTGCCAGGAATTTAAGTAAGAATCAATTCTAGAGTTGATCTTAGTCACCTAACTTTAGTATAGTGCTTACAGCCCAACCTAAGTTTTATTTATTCAGTAGACATTTCACAAATATTTACTATCTTCCAGGTACTCTATTGTTTCATATATTGTTCTAATGCCAAATGTTTTCAACTAATTTCAATAGAAATTAGCACCAATAATTCACAATCAAAAAGACCACATTATTTTTTTGCTAAATTTATTCTCTACCCTTCTCTATCCTTATCTGTGCCCCTGATAGCTATCCTCTGAGGTCATTAACCAGACTCCTTTTGGCTTTGGGCTTGTTTCAGCCAATAGGAGATCAGAGGACTGGGATTGGGTAGAGGATTTATTACCTGTCGTCTTCCTCCTGGTTGTGGTTTGGACATGGCTGCATTTGTTAGGTTTGGCCAACTTCTCATGCCATCAGCTGGAATCACTCCCTGTTCTAGGAACTGTATCCTCTCCCATCTCCTTTCAGGCCTGATGGTGTCAGTGGTTTCCCACTGTTGCTAACCCCAGGACGCTTTACCATCCCACAGTGGTTTCCATGAATCCTGCCCACATCTTTGTAAATTACGCTTTATTGTTTTAATAATCTATTTTGAGTTTGCCTGCCACAACTCTGACCTCTATATTATCATTTAACATCTCAGGCCACTGTAAGTACACAGTTAGCATATGAATATAATAACTACAGTGCCTTTTAATATGATAACTGATTAGGAAGGAAGGGAAATTGGAGGAGGGAAAAAAACCCAAAACAAAGACTGACACCAGTTAACTATTTGATGCATTAGAGGGGGTTAAGGTGGTTAAGGAGGTTGAAAGAGGCTGTTCAGTCTATGTCTACCTTGCAAGCATTTTATTAAATAACTATAAACTACCAAAAGAAATTTATAACAGTATCTACAACTAGATTTATCTCTGCCTACCCAAATAACACTATTTGTTTTGGGAGTTAGTATCATCTTACCTAATTAAACCAATCCCCTAAAGCAACATACAGAAATACTTTAAAAGTTTTGACAACATTTTTGCACTGTGTTTCCCTAGATTCTTTCTTGGTGATTCTTCCCTATGAAATAAGCAGAGTACCTTCATGTCATTGTCTGTGACTGGAGAAGTGAAAGTCCTACTGAATTGCTTTTCTCAGATTAGAAATCAAGGGGTGATTTTAGAATTATTTAAAAATTTTCCCAATAAATGGATCCCAATTATGGCTAAATTATTTAGAGAGATTAGCGATGTGAAAGTTTTATTTAGAGATTATATTCCCATTATTAAGAAATGAAAAATTAGTAAATCGTACAAATATACAAATTCAATCTTTTGGATATAATTTTAAAATTATTTGGCAGGCATCGATGAAGTGTGATTCTAGGAAAACTTTAGTAACATAATTTACGGTGATTATACAACAAACCAACTAACAACCGACCATTGTAGTTGTCTTCCCATTATTTATTGCATCAAGGTACGGGGTAAATACTAGTTCCCTATGAACCAGCATCTTAATTCATGTACTTCAGAATTAGCTGTACACTTTTGTTTATTGAATAGGGAAAATTGGCACAAATTAGCTGCTCTCTGCTTAAGAGGCATCATATATTTTTCTTTTAGTAAGTTCACAGAGGGACTTCTCCCTTGGTAAACATAGGTAGTTTCCTCATGAACATGAATTCTGATGATTGCGGAATAAAACTAAACCAAGAATGCTACATCCATGATACTTTGAAACTTTATCATAATGATGAAAATAAAATTCTATGAGCCTAATGTCCTCAGTGTCTCAAGTAATCCCCTAAAATCTATATTCTATGCATATAAAGTGTGTTCCATTCAATTTTTATTTATATGGATTTCAAAAGCTACTGCTGGGAGGAGACAAGAAAGGAGGTAGGGAAAATCCCCAGGGGTGTGTGCAGAGTGAGACTGGATGCAGGCTGAAGACAGAGTGCCTGAGAACAACCATTGCTTTGGGCATGGGCATGGAGGTGGTGCTGACAGAGAAGGAGAAGGGAGGTCAGATAAAAGTATCAATTTCGTTCTGATAATGGATGGTGGTGATGGTTGCACATCAATATAAACTGTGCATTTAAAATGGTTAATTTTATGTTATGTATATTTTTTCATAATTAAAAAATAATTCACTGTCAACAACTTACCTTTAAGTGAGAATAACTTTGGTCTTAGACTTTGCATTCCCTATGCTGATTCCTAGAAGAAAATGGAGTAGTTTCTTTAAACTTCTTAGAAAACTTTATTTTGAACCTAGAAATCTGCATTTTAGATCTTCTGTTTGGCCCTTGAGATCTTTATTCTGTCCCACCCCATCCTGCTTTGTGCTCTGCACCCCAAGAGCTTGACTGCTGTTGGCTGCTTCAGCTGGGATCTCTTTCCCTTTGGCCTACTGGGTTCAGCCAATCAGAGGCACCAGCAAGAAGCTAGAAGCCAGGAGGAGAGAGAGGTTGGGTGTTTTTTTTTTTTTTTTTCAGAC